ACTTTCAACTCTCTTGATACTCTTGTGCAGCCTGGCGATCTTCATGGTCAAGATGTATCTGCAGGTGCAGCAGTTCCTCCTGCAGTAAAGGCGGAAGCTCCTGTAGCAACCGAACCTGGATCGAAAATTGCTACGCAAGAAGAGAATGTAAAGGCTCCGTTAAAACCTCTCAAGTTGGAATATGAGAGGAATGCTCCACGGGTATCCAACTCCGAGGTGGAGTCAAAAGCTGCCGAAGATTCTATTGAACCGAAGGGTGCCATAATGCCGAGAGCCGTAGAAAACCTGTCAAGTGCAAATACTGCCGAAGATCCGAACAAAGTTAAGGTCTCGGAAGATCCTACGACGCTGAATTCCTCACAGAACTGGAAGGCCTCAGAAGGTTCTAGAAGTGTCAACTTCGGTCAGTATACACAGCCTACAAGTACAACAGCTGAAGTGAAGACTACATCCGAGATACCTGTTCCGGACAAGGTTAGTTATCCACTTTGAGAGCTTTACTAACAATACGCGTGCCAGGATAAGTTATTGCTTTGTTATCTGTGTCATGAATGAAGTAACAAGCGTCAAATCCTTGGTTTTTAGTAGATTGTTTTCTGTTCATTAGCCTTTGAAATATAGGCCTCGCATATGTTCAAAGTATCATTCCACAGAATATTCATTCATACAGTCTCTGAAATTGAGATTATTTACTGAGAAGACATCAACGGATATGATTCTTTTCCTCTTGATTATTTTTTACTCCGTGGATGATGTTGTTACGTCTCATGGTTGATACTTGGAAATTTCAAACGAATCTTATCCATGGGGGAAAAATCCACCACAAGACAGGCACCTTTCACCCTTAGGTAGACTACTTAGCTCCTCGCATCTTACTTCTTCTACCACTCAATCCCTTCTGCAGAAGTTAGCTTGGACACGGGCCCTGTAGTTTTCAGGCTATGACAGGTTCATGCTAATGAGTACAGTTTGTTTGAGTTCCGAACGAAAGTTAGTTCGTAGTGTGTAGCAGCCGTGAATGTTCGAGGAGATGCTTATTGAATATTGAGTCTTTGTGAAGTAGATTCGTGTGATAATTTGTTAGCTTCCTTGCAGAGGTAACATATCCAGTCTCGAACCTTGTGGATCATTCCTTTCTGATAAAGCCGGGTAGACCTCTTGAGGCTCCTGAATAATTTGGGGAGAAATTGTTGCGTATGGGAGATGCTCATGCCGGAAATGTTGGGACAAGAAGACGTTGCATATTAGCTCTACAAACTTTTTGAAGATTTGGATTAGATAGTATCTAATCCAAATCTTTTCGAGTTGCTGCCAGCTGTAGCTTACGATCGTCAGGTGAAGGACCTGGCATTGAATAGCAGATGATGCCTTGAGCAAACAATCCAATTCCGATCATCTCAAAGGAAGATACAAATTATTTTCGAGTCTGATGCTATTCACTTACAACCAGCTGTAGCTTGAGCGTATGAGTGTGAGTCAGGTAGAGCACTTGGCATTTAACAGTTGATGATGCCTTGAGCAAACAATCCAACTCCGATAAACTCAAAGGAGGATACGAAATATGTCAAGTCTGATGCTGTGACTCTTCTATAATTCTCTTTGACTTAGATAATATGAGGTTGACTTTGTTCGTCGAAAACTTTCATTCTCAAATCTTGTCCGTTGCAACTTTTTTTGGCAGCATGGATTGAACCGTATTCCACTTTTGGACATTGGTGATACTCCTCATTTGTAGTTACGTCATTGTCCAGCCACGTAGTCACTTCGATGTGAAGAATGGTTTGACTAGGAGCTAGGATTCACTTTAGCCAGTTTCTAGTGTGATAATCCTTTTTCATGGCCTACATCGAGGAAACACTTATTCAAGTCCATGCTCGTGAGAAGCAGTGGTACCCTTATGCTCAGGAATGGCCTGGGCTTGTGGGACTGGTCTGCCATGTGTTCTTCTTGCTGAGCAGTGTGTTCTCGTGTTTCTTGACGTCTGAATGAACTTGTCACGTTTATGGCAGGTACCAGAAAAAGATCCAGTTCAATTGCAGCAACAACCTGCAGTCCCAAGAAAGAGTTTGAGTTTACGATCGAGGAACTTGAAAACCGAGGGTCCTGTCAGCAAACTCAAAGCACGGTTCAAAACTTGTTTCGGCAAAGGTGGAAAGAAGCAGACTGCTGTATGAAAAGGGCAAGGATTTTTGTATCATATTCCAAAGTTGGTCTATCGTCTCTAACTAGTGCATAATTATTACTGAGACCTGGAAATTCCATTTCTGGGCTGTATTTCCTGCCTTTTTTCGTGGCTTCATTTACCTCGTGTATACTCGACTTCGAATTGTAAGGGATTATTACTTGGGCTTTATTATCTGCCCTGGGTTGTATCATGAAGCCAGATCATTGGAATAGTCAACTTTATTAGTCGTATAGTTCGCTGTCTTGATCTTCCGAGATACCTATATCGATGAGATTTAATTGTTGTAGGAGTCGGGAATAGTGTAGTTACTTGAAAGAATGAAGACGAGATTTAATTTTGCTAGATTCAGGAAACGAAAGGTGGGTCTTTAGATAGACCCTGTATTTGATCCAGATGAGCTTACATGCGACACTGGTGGTTTGAGATTTTCGTAGGAAATTTGTCTGACTACTTGTATACTCTTGTTTAAGTAGATTCATTTTTCTGGTATATATCTTTTATATACTGACCGACCGTAGTCTCTTATCTGGATTGCTGAGCTTAGTACATGTATCAGTAACGTATTGAATAAAATTTTATGTTGCTCCGTGGTATCTTCACGATTGCCGGCCGTTTGCAATGTCTGCAATGATGTCTGTCACGTGTGGTGTGGGGTATATGTGTTGTTCGTAGGATGCTGTCATCAACTAGGCCCGCACATGATCGTGCCGCTTCTCTGTTCTCTATGAGAATTACGAGTTTTGGACGACTGCGAAGAGTTAGTTGTCTTTATTCAGCTTCTTCATCCTGTTTACAAACCGAGTTATATTGGTGCATTCTCGGTATGATTTAAAGAAAGAGTCTTCCAGTCATAAAGATTGATCCTTTTTCCTCAAACATGGCGAGCACTGGGTAAGGTTAGTCTGTTACTGCTGAACAAAGAACATTGGAGAAGGAGATAAACACCCTGGGCTAGAATGATGATGAAGCAACTTTAAAGCAACTCTTCATTTCCTCCGCTTTGGGTTGAAGCTGAGATCGTAACTTTCCATCTCTAATTCTACCCGTAATCCAGAACCAGCCTGTGATTTATGCCAAGCGACATCGTAAATGGTACTAAGGTCACTTCCTTCGCACCTAAAGTAAACCATCGTACAACACTGTTTTATGGGGCTGAAAACCCCACACGATAGAAACTCTTATGATGTACGTTGAATGTAATTTTTGGTTCTCACTATCAAAGACTAATATTAATTTCATGCATGTTTCATAAATAGCACTCACTTATATTCAAATGCTCTTCATGCATATTATCATTAATTCAAAGAGATAAGTTTTTATACTTTTTTTTCATTTACTACAACTTACAAAACATGATACTTATGAAATACATACTAAGTTTAAGATGTTTGTAAAAATATAAAATTGAAAGATCCAATCAATCAGATGGCTTTCTTTAGATGCCATATTTTTTCCTATTTATAAAAAAAATAATTTCATTAACATTTTATTTTTATTTCAGTTTGTATGTAATTTTTTCATTATGTCTCAATTATTAAAAATGATCAGATTATTTTTTATATTCGGAGATTTACTTATTTTAATATTTAAATATATATAATTTTGCATTTTACTTTTTGATTTATTATTCTTAATAGTATATCAATGTCTTGCTATCGATGAATAAAAACTAGCTTATCCTAAATACAAGGTGATATCTAGAAATAAAATCCAAAATTTTCATAAATTTGGAGAGATGTAAAATATTTTTAGGGAACTCCTAAATCGTTTAAAGCTAAAATTTCTTGATGCTTGATAATGCCGTTACGAGTTTTTTCATGATGAATCATACTGGATGAAATAATATTCCTTTAAATAATGGACTTTAATCCAACTTGGATGGATTAGTTGAAGGACTTTGAAACGAACAAGTATGATTTCCAAAAGATAAAAGGATTTTCAGTAGCAAGCACGTATATACTTTCTTGCATACTTAGTTAAACAAACCCTTGTGGATTTGTCCAAAATTATGAACTTTATATTCCGTATGTGCAGTTTCATTCCTGAGTGTTACTAAGTTCAGGTCAGGTTTTTTAGAAGGGAAACATTTTATGAGGGATCCCATGCACCAAACCACATATACCTAGCTTGTCTTGCTAAAAGATGGGATTTCGTGAAGGGTAGAACCAAGTAATATAGCAAAAAGTATGCAAAGACCCCATCAAGTGATAGAGGGATGAAACCAAATGGGTAAGATGGGAATAACCCCTGTAGCGTCACAATGGGAAATATGCCATACTACATCTAAAATATCATAAATATCTAGATAAAACAATCTATTGGAACATCCCAAGAAGCATGAAGGATAGATAGGATGAAATGGATGTTTGACAATCCATTTCATCCTCATCCTAAGGTTGTTGCAAGCAAAAAGGGATACGCATGGATTAAAAGCTACGATGCAACCACATCGACCGAGTTACAAAGCCAGTGCAGGCAAGAAAAACGGTCAAAAGAAAATGAGAGAGGTAATGATAAAGTCCTTACAAGTTGCGATGCAACCACATCGACCGAGTTACAAAGCCAGTGCAGGCAAGAAAAACGGTCAAAAGAAAAGTGTAGAGGTAATGATAAAGTTTGACAAGTACATGAAGCTACAGTAAATGACGTCCTCAGATCCCTTTATAAGGCTTTCGTGGACTCGTCGAACATGCAAACCATATCACCACAGGTCATCACCAAAACAGCACGCAGTCAACCGAACAATCAAGGCACGAGGATAGAATTATTACGACTACGTGGTGAACCGAGGGCCGCCTACCCTCCGGAAGCTGAGGTCGCGGACGGCAGGATTCGAACCTGCGCGGGCACAGCCCAATTGATTTCGAGTCAATCCCGTTAACCACTCCGGCACGTCCGCTAGGTGTACACCATGTTTTTTTCATAAGATTTAAAACAATAACAGTTATTCCCCATTCAATGACTTCTCAGTTCGAAACTCAGAATAAACTATGAACGGTAAAACATGAAACTAATCAGTTATTAAATTCGTGGAACATATTATTATTTAATTCTTTTTTATGTCTTCAACTCCCTTCATGACCTCTCTCTCTCTCTCTCTGCAGATTGCTGAACTGATCACGGAAAGAGAGGGTCGCTGTAATGCTTGCTGGTCAAAATCGTAGATAAATGTGTCGTTTGAGACCTTACCATAAAAGTATCCAGAGAATATATTGCTTTACCAAGATGGAAGTCGGCACGGATAATTTACTGATATCTACACGAAGTACACTATCTCGCAGGTAACCCTAGCAGTATTCGAGTTCCGTAGTTTTAGGAAAATGCATTTTCAGAACATGATGTATATCTTCTCCTTGTATATCCATGAAGTTTTATATGGTCGTGCGGCCTGACTGTGTAAATGGAGAATTGCCACAGAAGAGTTGATTTAGTTATTCTCATACCCTCATTTTCAGACTGGGTACACTAAACCACCACATCGCTCAATGTCATGTCATTTTAAGATTGATATATGTATTGCTAATAATAGAGTGACTAACTAGACAGGTAATGTGACCTACCTCCCATTTTCCGCTTGCTGAAAAAAATGATACATGAGAGAATGTTTTCCTCATTGAAGGAAATGGTAGGAAACATGATTTTTTGATTTTTTCTCAAATAAAAATTTAGGAGAAACACTTGTTTTGATGGATACGGCAGAACCAGTATGTAAACAATGTCAAGAAAACTAAGAAGTGATACATGTATCACTTCTTTCAGAATTTTCTGTAAAACTTCAAAATTCGGGGGTGAATGGAAACGAAAAAACAAAAAATTTTATGTAGCATTCCGATTCATTCAAAGACCGCGTAACTCACCGTGATTATTTTAGAGTTATTGTGTTGAAATTACTGTCGGGTAATCCTCACTTAATCCAAACTAATCAACTTTGCGGAATCCATGGTCATAAGAACATTGGAAAATATTTCATCTTCCCAGTATTTGTCAATTGCGTAGTTCCATAAACATCACAAAATAAAACATTGATGCAACTTACATGTTCTAGTGAGGAGTTGTCAAATTGTCTCTACACGTCCTTGAAGAACAATGGGACCAAGATACAAGATCATATGGACTAGTTCAATGATCTTCATGTGGACTTACAGAATCTTGGTGAGAACCTTAATGATGAGAGTAAGGCTCTCCATGTATTGAGTTCTCTTCCTACGTCCTATCAGTCCTTGTCACGAGTATTATTACATCGTGATAGGAAGACCATCATCTACAATGAGATGGTGAGTGCTCTGCTGAATTACAATCTTCAATAGAAGGTAATGTTACCTTCTCAACCATTGACTTCTTCAAAAACTACATTGAATGTGAATAATGGAAGGCCTTAGAAATAAACAAATGGTGGGGAGAAGAGATCTAGGACTAGATCTAGATCTAGGGAGAGATCCCAAGACCAAAAGACTTTGCTCTATTGGAAGTGTGGTATAGCTGGCCACCTCAAGAGAGTTTGTTGTGGCAAAGGAGATGAGTCTTCTTCAACCAATGTGGCAAAAGAAAACGAGGAAGATGAAGAGGAGGACCTGCTTGATGACGATTATGCTCTATGAAGTCAACGGTATGCCCTATGCATCTTATCTGGTAAGAGAGATGATGAATGGATTCTAGATTGCACTTGTTCATACCATATGTGTTACATGAGAGAGTTTTTCAGTTCTTACTCGATATCAAACAGTTCAGTTTTGATGGGAAATGATCGTCCATGTCGGATTGTGGATATTGGATCTATTAAGATTCAGATGTTTGACGGTATTGTGTGCACATTGACTAATGTCATACATATCCCTGACATGAGGAAGAACTTGATTTCTCTTGGCGTATTAGACACAATTGGTCATCAATGGGAAATAGTTGATAGTGTATTTCGAGTCATGACTAGATGAAAAATTGTCTTGAAGGGAAATAGGCACAAGAATCTATATGGGACAGAGGGCAATATTGTTTGTGGAGAAGCACATGTTTCTAGATCTTAGGATGAGATTAACTACTTGTGGCACTTACGACTAGATCACATTAGTGAGAAGATCATGTCCATTCTTCACAAGAAAGGCTTTGTTTCTACACTATGGTCTAGTAGTTTAGAATTATGTGAGCATTGTGTATTAGGAAAGCAGCATCGGACACCTTTTGACGCTGAAACTCATAGTTCCAAGGAGATACTCAAATATATACATAGTGACATGTGGGGACCATCCACTACTCCCTCACATTCTAGAAAGCTATACTATGTATCTTTCATCGATGATTATTGGAGATTTATATGGATTTATTTCTTACATCAGAAGCATGAGGTCTTTGTCACTTTCAAGAAGTGGAAAGCCCAAGTTGAGACTAAGACTGGTAAGAGAGTGAGATTTATATGATCAGATAATGGCAGGGAATACACTTTTGGAGAATTTGAGTTGTATTGTCAACAAGAAGGGATAACTCGCCATCTCATTATACTCCAAAGCAAAATGGTGTTGTTGAATGGCTCAATCGAACACTATTGGAATGGACGAGGAGTATGTTGAGTCAATTTGGTTTATCACACACATTTTGGATTGAAACTATCAAAACTGCGGCTTATTTGATAAATATTTCTCCTTCCATTGTGATTAATATCATGATGTCATTTGAGATGAGGTACGGACGGCCGACAGATTACCATCGATTAGTATTCTTTGGATGTAATGCATATCCTCTCACAACCAAGGAAAGTAAATCTAAGATGGATTTTACTTCCAAGAAATGTGTTCTTCTTGGATATCATAGTGATGTGAAGGGTTACACGTTGTGAGATCCCCTCTTGTAAGTTGATTGTTAGTAAAGATGTTTCGTTCAATGAATCTAGATCATCGAGAGGGGGAGAAAGCTTAAGCTCCTCATAGTGACAAGGAAAAATCTCCTCTTAATATTGTTGAGGGGGAGATTAATCATGAAGCACAAGGAGGTGCTCCCACAGAGGAGCACATTCCTCAATCTGAGGAAATGCAAGAGCATGATGAGACTGGAAAACCTCAACACATGTCAGCACATGAAGATCAAGTTGAGTCATCAACTAGAAGGATGTTTGGATGTTCTATTTGTGCTTCTCAACATTTTGGCAAATGGGCTGATTCGATTTAGTTAGGAGATGAGGATATCTCTCCTGATGATGACGATGATATGACTTTGATCTTGAAAGAAAAAGAACCTTCTACATATGAATAGACTCAAGCTTCTATGGACAAGCTGGAGTGGGATGCAACGATGCAGAGGGAGATACAATCACTGATTGACAATAAGACTTGGGAGTTAGTCAAGCTTCCAAAGGGTCAACAACTAGTGGATAGTAAGTGGATCTACAAACTGAAGGATAGCCCCATTGACGGAGTGAAGAAGATCTACAAGGCCAAGTTGGTGACCAAGGGATTCACATAAGAAAAAGGTGTGGATTATAATGAGGTATATTCCCCATTTGCTAAATATAACTCTATTTGTTTGTTGTGTGTACTTGTGGTTTTGTTTGGTTTTATTTTAGATCAAATGGATGTTATCACTACTTTCCTCTATGGCAACTTGGATGAGATGATCTTCATGAGTCAAACTATGGGCTTTGTGAAGAAAAGCCAAGAGGATATGGTTTAAAGGTTGCTAGAATCCTTGTATGGATTGAAGCAAGCCCCTAAAAAATGGAACAAATGGTTTGACGATTTCAAGAGGACACAAGGATTTAAACTGAGTGTGTTTGGTCTTTATGTATACATGAAAAATGTGAGTAATGAGGTCTTTGGCTTCATTATTCTGGACTCTACGGAAATGACATGCTCATTATAGTTAGGGACAGATATGATGTTGATAAGTTCAAAGCTCTTTTGAGTTTTGAGTTTGGAATGAAAGATCTTGATACAATGAGGAGTATTTTGGGGATGGAGATCCAAAGGGACTTGGAGGATGAAAAGCTATGGTTAATTCAAGGGAAGTATGCTAGGAAGTTCCTTTTGAGATTTAACATGAAGAATTGCAAGGAAATGAGTACACCTTTAGCTCCTCACTTCATGCTCTTATCAGCACTCTATCCAACAAATGCCGTGGAGAAAGGTTTGATGTCCAAGGTCCCCTACGACAATGCAGTGAGAAGTGTCATGTTTTTGATGATTTGCACTAGGTGTGACATTGCTCTAGTTATGGGCAATACTAACATATACATGTCAAATCTAGGGAAGATACATTGGGAACCTATGAAGTGGATTCTCAGATATCTCGAGTGTACGTTGGATTTTGGTCTTGTCTTCGATGCTAAATTGTACAATGACAAATCCCTAATTGGCTATGTAGATGCTGACTACAGACAAGATCTGAATGGGAGGAAATCTACGATTGGATATGTGTTCACACTTGGAGGTGGATGCATAAGATGGAGATCTACATAGCAGAAGTGCATAGCACAAAAGATGAGTACGTAGCGGCAGTGGAAGTAGCGAAGAAAGCCATTTGGTTGGATAGGCTTGTCACAGAGAAAGGATGGACACATGACATTGTAAAGTTTCATTGTGACAATCAAAGTGCTTTACATCTAGTTGTAAATCAGGTTATGGACAGTAGAGTGAAGCACATCAACATCAGGTTACATCTTCTCGCACAAGCTGTGTCTGACAAAATGATTGACCTAGTCAAGATTGATGGTAAACTCAATCATGTTGATGACTTTACCAAAATGATTCCTTTAAAGAGTTTTTGGAGACATCGTGCCAAATTGTAGGTGTTGCATATGGGCACAACTAGAGTGGACTAATGATTTTGTTATCTCTATATTTGATTTTATTCTCATATGTTTAGGCTACGGCTTAGTTATAGTTAACTCTAGTTTACATATAGAACTATGTTAGGTTTC